GTCGGTTGCAACGGAGGAAACGACACCGAGATAATAGACTGTCTGCGCAGTAAAAGTCCACAGCAACTTATCGATCATGAGTGGCAGGTAATTTACACAAATTCTGCTTGACTTATCATGTTGTTTGCAACGTGGACGAGAGACTTATTTTCAGTTTGACGTTTTTTAATTTCAAACCACTGGCTCTTTGATGCAATGGTTTATTACCTGTGGTTCCTACTAAGTGCACAATATGTTGTTAAGGATCAAAATCAGACCGGACTCAAACGCAAGACTCTCTCAAACAGTTCAGGAGAGTGTTCCCAAGAACACAAAACAGCCCACTGCTCTCCAGCACGGGCTTCTCCAACCAAGGGGATGTAGTTAGTAAGTTTTTCTCATTCAAAGCCAAGTTGCACAAACACGGATATAAGGAGCCGTCTTTCAGTAACTGAAGACCGAAATGGGAGGTCAGACTAACGAGGACAGAGGGACCATGCCAGTATGTACCTGTATCAGTCAGGGCTGCAACTGAAGATTATGTTGGTAGTTGAACAATCTGCCAATTTTCCTTCCATTAGTCGGTTAGCCAGTGATTATTTCAACAACTCTCACAGTGCTGTGGGCAAACCTGTTCTAGTCTTCAGTCCTCACCTGCTCAAATCTGCCCACTCTGCTGTCTCGTTCCACAGAAAATTAAAATAATGAAACACATGAATTTGAAAATAATCAAATGTATTTTTAAAAGGACTCAATAGGACTGTCAGAATAAAAATCATATAAATAAAAATATTAGTTGCACAAATTAAAGTGCTATTAGTATTTAAATACAAAATAATGTGCAAATAGGAAACTAATTTGCTTTCTAGTCCAAAATAACAAGTTAACCCTGTAATGCTATAAGTTTCTGCGACCTCTGTCTCATCAACATCAATACTTCCCATAATTTCAAAATGTTGTGGACAAAACTCTTTTTTGTCTAAAATTAACATTGTTGCCAAAAATGCCCAATGTATCAAAAATATAATAAAAATATATCATACACAACACGATATAGCAAAAAAATATTGTGGATTTTGTTTTAAGGGTTAATAAACATCTCAGTTCAAAAAAATCTGAATTTTCTGGCTATTTTTTGACGGGTTGGGTCTGACGGGGTTAACAAAGTTTACAGATGATTCAGTAATGAATCCACAATTACTCTGAACATGTTCATCACGATCATTTACCAACAAAACAGATTTAGAAAAGACCGTTGCTCATCACATATTTGGTTATAGATCATAGTTTCTCATTAGGTGGAAGAGGTTTACTACAATATTAAAGTGTGAGATTTAAAGATTTACTATCACGTTTCATCCTGAGAAGTTTCTGACAGCTAATGTAAACATTACTGTAAAAACATTCATATAAACAACATGTCAATGCAACCCACTAACTTGTCAAAGGAGCTTGCAAAGAAAAGCGTCTGGACTTCTTTAAGTTGCTTGTCCCTCTGTGGGGGG